AATTGGTTGTGTCAAGTTAGAATAAGTTACGTTTCATTAAGTTGAGGTCGAATAGACTATTTTAAGTTAGGTTAGGTTAGGTTAGGTTAGGTTAGGTCCGGGTCGTTAATCTTAGAGGGAAATCGGTGAGTCTCGCTTCCCAGTTCGTAAACTGGGTGACTCACGACGGAAAGGAACATACACCGCGATTCGGCCTTGTAATATATTAATACTGAGTCACTGGGGGATATATGTGTGTACCATCCCTCCTGCCTGAGAGAGCGAGAGGGAGATGGCCAGTGTAGAGGGAGAGGGCCAGTGTAGAGGGAGAGGGTCAGTGTATAGGACGAGGGAGATGGCCAGTGTAGAGGGAGATGGCCAGTGTAGAGCGAGAGGGAGATGGCCAGTGTAGAGGGAGATGGCCAGTGTAGAGCGAGAGGTAGATGGCCAGTGTAGAGGGAGAGGGAGATGGCCAGTGTAGAGGGAGAGGGTCAGTGTATAGGACGAGGGAGATGGCCAGTGTAGAGGAGAGGAGAGATGGCCAGTGTAGGGGGAGAGGGGTCAGTGTAGAGGACGAGGGAGATGGCCAGTGTGGGGGGAACAGCAGTGTGGGGCAGGGGAGATGGCCAGTGTGGGGGAGATGGCCAGTGTGGGCGGAGGTAGATGTGGTGTGGGGGGAGAGGGAGATGGCCAGTGTGGGGAGATGGCCAGTGTGGAGAGGGTCAGTGTATGGGACGGGGAGATGGCCAGTGTGGGGAGATGGCCAGTGTGGAGCGGGGAGATGGCCAGTGTGGGGGAGGGTCAGTGTATGGGACGAGGAGATGGCCAGTGTGGGGGAGAGGGAGATGGCCAGTGTGGGGGAGAGGAGATGGCCAGAGTATGAGAGAGAGGGCCAGTGTGGGGGAGAGGGTCAGTGTATGGGACGAGGGAGATGGCCAGGTATAGGGAGGAGGGGGCAGTGTGGGGAGAGGGAATGGCCAGGTATAGGGAGAGGAGAGGGCCAGTGTGAGGGAGGGTCAGTGTATAGGGAGATGGCCAGTGTGGGGGAGAGGGAGATGGCCAGTGTAGAGGGAGAGGCCAGAGGGAGAGAAGGGTTGGAGAGAGGCCAGTAGAGGAGAGGGTCGTGTGGGGGAGAGGAGAGGCCAGTGTAGAGGGAGATGGCCAGTGTATAGGAAGAGGCCAGTGTATAGAGAGGGTCAGTGTAGAGGAGAGAGAGGTCATGTATAGGGAGATGGCCAGTGAGTGAGAGGAGATGCATGGTAGAGGAGAGATGGCCAGTGTAGAGGGAGAGGAGATGGCCAGTGTAGGGGAGAGGGAGATGGCCAGTGTAGAGGGGAGATGGCCAGTGTAGAGGGAGAGGGAGATGGCCATGTAGAGGGAGGAGGGAGACACAGTGTAGAGGGAGAGGAGATGGCCAGTAGAGGAGAGGAGATGTAGAGGGAGGGAGAGGCCAGTGTAGAGGAGAGGGTCAGTGTATAGGAGGCCAGTGTAGAGGGAGAGGGAGATGGCCAGTGAGGGAGAGAGATGGCCAGTGTAGAGGGAGATGGCCAGTGTGGAGGGAGAGGAGATGGCCAGTGTAGAGGAGAGGGCCAGTGTAGAGGGGAGAGGAGATGGCCAGTGTAGAGGAGAGGCAGTGTAGAGGGGAGAGGAGATGGCCAGTAGGAGAGGGAGATGGCCATATAGGAGAGGGAGAGGCCAGTGTAGGAGAGGAGAGCACAGTGTAGAGGGAGATGGCCAGTGTAGAGGGGAGGAGGAGATGCAGTGTATAGGAGGAGATGGCCAGTGTAGAGGGAGAGGAGATGCATGTAGGAGAGGGAGAGCAGAGTGTAGAGGGAGATGCAGAGTGTATGGGGAGAGGGAGAGATGGCCAGTGTAGAGGAGAGAGGGAGATGTCGTGTAGAGGGAGAGGGAGATGGCCAGTGAGAGGGAGAGGCTATGTATAGAGAGAGGCTGTGTAGAGGAGAGAGGAGATGGCCAGTGTAGAGGGAGAGGGAGATGGCCAGAGTATAGGGAGAGGGGAGAGGCCATGTAGAGGGAGAGGGTCAGTGTATGGGAGAGGAGATGGCCAGTGTATAGAGGGAGAGAATAGTGTAGAGGGAGAGAGCAGAGTATAGGGAGAGGGAGGTGAGGAGAGGGTCAGTGTATAGGGATGGCCAGTGTAGAGGGAGAGGAGACGGCTGTGTGAGGAGGGCCATTGTAGAGGAGAGGGAGATGGCCAGAGTATAGGAGAGGGTGTGTAGAGGAGGTCAGTGAGGAGGGTCAGTGTAGAGGAGAGCCAGTGTAGAGGGAGATGCCAGTGGGAGGAGAGGGCCAGTGGAGAGGGTCAGTGGTAGGGAGAGGGAGGGTCAGTGTGTATAGGAGATGGCCAGTAGGAGAGGGAGATGGCCAGTGTGGTAGGAGAGGGAGAGCACAGAGGGAGAGGGAGCCAGTGTAGGGGAGAGGGAGACAGCTGTGTGAGAGGCACAGTGTGAGAGGAGAGAGGGAGATGGCCAGTGTAGAGGGAGAGGGAGATGGCAGTAGAGGGAGAGGAGATGGCCAGTGTAGAGGAGAGGAGAGGCCAGTGTAGAGGAGAGGTAGAGGAGATGGCCAGTGTAGGAGGGGGGAGATGGCCAGTAGAGGAGATGGCCACAGTGTAGAGGGAGAGAGGGTGGCCAGTGTAGAGTGAGAGAGGCCAGTGTAGAGGAGAGGGAGATGGCCAGTGTAGCAGTGTGTGGAGGAGAGGAGATACAGTGTAGGGAGAGGGAGATGGCCAGAGATGTAGGGAGAGGGTGGGAGGAGGCCATATAGAGAGATAGTGAGAGGAGATGCCAGTGTAGAGGGAGAGAGGAATGGCCAGTGTAGAGGGAGAGGGAGATGTGTAGAGAAGAGATGGCCAGTGTAGAGGAGATGGGGTTGAGAGGGGATGCCAGTGTAGAGGGGAGAGGGAGATGGCCGTGTATAGGGGAGAGGGAGATGAAGGTGAGAGGGGAGGGGAGATGGCCAGTGTAGAGAGACAAGTGGGAGAGGGAGATGGCCAGTGTATAGGAGAGGAGATGGACAGTAGAGGGGGAGAGGGAGATGGCCAGTGGAGGGGAGATGGCTGGTGTAGAGGAGAGGGAGAGGCCAGTGTAGGGGAGAGGGAGGCCAGTGTAGAGGAGATGGCCAGTGTAGAGGGAGAGGAGATACACAGTAGAGGGGAGAGGGGCCAGTGTATAGGGGAGAGGGAGAGACAGAGTAGGGGAGAGAGGGAGAGGCAGGGTAGAGAGGGGAGATGCAGAGAGGGAGAGGGAGATGGCCAGTGTATAGGGGAGAGGGAGATGCATGAGTATGGGGAGAGAGATGCACAGTGGGGAGAGGAGACCAGTGTAGAGGGGAGAGGGAGAGGCAGTGTAGAGGGGAGAGGGGAGATGGCCAGTGTAGGGGAGAGGGGAGATGGCCAGGTAGGGAGAGGAGACACAGTATGGGGAGAGGGAGATGGCCAGAGTAGGGGAGAGGGAGATGCCAGTGTAGAGGGGGAGAGGGGCAGTGTAGAGGGGAGAGGAGATGGCCGAGTAGGGGAGAGGGAGATCAGTGTAGAGGGGAGACCAGGTAGGGGAGAGGGATGGCCAGGTAGAGGGAGAGAGGGAGATGGCCAGTGTAGGGGAGAGGGAGATGGCCAGAGTATAGGGGAGAGGGAGACACAGTGTAGGGGGAGAGGGGAGGCCAGTGTATAGGGAGGGAGATGGGCTGTAGAGGGGAGAGGGAGATGGCCAGGAGAGGAGATGGCCAGTGGGGGAGAGGGAGACCAGTGTAGAGGAGAGGAGAGGGCAGTATAGGGAGAGGGAGACACAGAGTATAGGGGAGAGGGAGATGGCCAGTGTAGAGGGAGAGGGAGACATGGAGTGTATAGGGAGAGGAGAGGCCAGGTGGGAGAGAGGGAGATGGCTGGGGAGAGGGAGAGGGAGACGCAGTGATAGGGGAGAGGATACAGAGTATAGGGAGAGAGACAGAGAGCAGGAGAGGGAGAGGCCAGTGCAGAGGAGAGAGGGAGAGACAGTGTAGAGGGGAGAGGGACAGTGTAGAGGGAGAGGAGATGGCCAGTGAGAGGGAGAGGGGAGATGGCCAGTGTATAGGGGAGAGGGAGAGGCTAGAGGAGAGGGAGAGGGGAGAGGCTGCAAGAGGGGAGAGGGAGATGGCTGTGTGGAGAGGAAGATGGCCAGTGTAGGGAGGAGATGCACAGTGTAGGGAGAGGGCCAGTGTAGAGGGGAGAGGGAGATGGCAGTGTAGGGAGATGGCCAGTGTAGGGAGAGGGAGAGGAGATGGCCAGTGTAGAGGGGAGAGAAGGCCAGTGTATAGGAGAGGGAGACAGAGAAGGGGAGGAGAGGCCAGTGTAGAGAGGGGAGAGGGAGATGGCCAGTGTAGAGGAGACCAGTGTAGAGGGGAGAGGGAGATGGCAGTGAGGGGAGAGGGAGATGGCCAGTGTGAGAGGGAGAGGGAGATGGCCAGTGTAGGAGGGGAAGAGGGCCAGTGTAGAGGAGAGGGCCAGTGTAGAGGGAGGGGTCAGTGTAGAGGGAGAGGCCAGTGTAGAGGGAGATGGCCGGGTATAGAGGGAGAGAGTGTGGAGGAGGGCCAGTGTAGAGGGACACAGAGTAGAGGAGAGGGTCAGTGTAGAGGGAGAGGGCCAGTGTTGCCATGTGTTGTCTAAATACGTTCATTACCTGTGTACTGAATCATCATAAACTTGAATTTATCTTAACCAACAATTTCTAACAAAACGAAGACAAATTTATTGCATTAGGCACACACACACGCACACCCACACACACACACACACACACACACACACACACACACACACATCTCACACACACACACACACACACACACACACACACACACACACACACACACACACACACACACACGCACACACACACGCACACACACACACACCACACACACACACACACACATACACCTATGTTTATGAAAATGTTAATTATTTCTATATATTTTCTAAAATCTTGAATACTAATTCCTCTTTTCTCTTTATTTACAGATACTGACTAATACAAGAAGGTCAACCACAGCCGCCTACTCCACCATACAGTAATACACTCAACCAAACTGACTCATTAATCTAACAGTGACTCAGCAACCTCAACCTAACTGACTCACCATCTAACAGTGACTACCCATGTAGTGTGAGTTGAGAGAATATCTAGTATTGACTGACTCATCTGAGAGACCACCTGGTATTGACTGACTCACCTTAGAGACCACCTGGATCACTAACTGGCTCACCTAAATACGTAACATTTATCGACAAGTTGAAAATAAGGAAACAGGTTCACAGCAGCAGAAAAAAATAAATCAGTTTTAAACCAATTCAACACCGATTCGAATCATGTATTAATGCTGTTCACTAAACCAAAATGAATGAAACCAAATTTTCAAGTTTAACGCTGCTGTAAGTTACATCTTGGCGCGATAAAGAACAACAGAGCCATGAGAGACGGAACGATTATCCCTCAAACATCCAGTTCTCAGAGGCCAATGGATTCATGAGAAGTGAAGCAGTGTTGTTTCAAGATGGCTCGTTGTCCAGCAGCTCTGTCGGTGAATCTCGCCTTTCTGACCATCGCGTCGCTTGGAGGTGAGATGTATAGCAGTGTATGTATCCGAGGGGTTGGGGAGGGGAGGTTAGATAGTGCTATGCCACCATGGAGACATTATATAAGACGGTAGTGACTTTTATCGGGGAATATATTTTTTTTCCTCGCTCTGTCTTGATGTGTGTATAAGATTTTTGGCGTCGTGTGATTCATTCCGTTAAGCCTGGAGCCGCAGAGAGTGTTGGCAAGATATGTGATTCTCTCTTTCTCTCAACCCTAATTTTTCTTCATCCCAGACTTTTTCTTTCTCTAGCCCCATTCTTCTATCCCCTCCTCCTTCTACTACTCTCTGTGTACCTGTCTGATTAGTTGGACGTAGAAGCATCAAGAAGAAGAAGGAACAGGAGGTTGAGAAGAAGGAGGCGAAGGCTAAGAAGGAGTAGGAGGAAACGAAGAACATGGAGGATTATGTGTGAGTGTGTGTATGTGTGTTACGGTCGAGGGATAGTCCACCACCACAACCACCCCCACCACCACCCCTACAACCACCACAACCACCAACCACCACCACAACCACCCCACCCACCCCCACCCCACCACCACCACACCCCTACAACCACCACCTCTCACCACCACCACCACCTCCACCACCCCACTCACCCTGCACCCCACCACCACCCCCACAACCACCACCACAACCACCACCACAACCACCCCCACCACCACCACTCCCCCACCACCACCACTCCCACCACCACCACCCTGCAACCACCCCCACCACCACCCCCACCACCACACCACCACACCACCACCACCACCACCACCACCACCACCACCTCACCACCACACCACCACCACCACCACCCCCAACACCACCCCTACAACCACCCCCACCCTACAACCACCCCCACCATCACCACCCACCACACAACCACCACCCCCAAACCACCACCACTCCCCCACAATCACCACCAACACCCCCACCACCACCCCCATTAACCACCATTGCCAACCACCCACCTCCCACCACCCCCCACCACCACCACACCACTACAACCACCACAACCACCACCACCATCCCCACCACCACACAACCACCCCCACAACCACCACCACAACCACCCCCACCACCAATTTCAACCACCACACCAACACCACCACCACCACCCCACCACCATCACCCCCACCACCACCCCACAACCACCACAACCATCCCACCACCAACACCACCACAACCACCACCACCCCCACAATCACCTCACCACCACCCCACCACCACCCCCACAACCACCACACACAAACACCTTTACCCCACAACCACACCACACAACCACCACCCCCCACCACCACAACCACCACCCTCACAACCACCTACACCCCCAATAATCACCACCACCACCACCCCACAACCACCTCACAACCAATCTCCCCACCACCCACCACAACCACTCACCCTCACAACCACCAACGCCCCCACAGTCACCACCACCACCACAACCACCACCAACCCCCTCTAACCACCCCACCACCCCCACTCACCACCCTACAACCAACCCTACAACCACCACCCCACCACCCCCCACCACCCCACCACCCCACCACCACCACCCCACAACCACCCCCACCACCACCACCACCACCACCCCGCCACCACCACCACCACCACCACCCACCCACCACCCACCACCACCCACCACCACCACCCCCACCCCCACCCCCACAACCCATCTCCTTTGCCCCCACCACCCCTGCCCCACCACCACCACCCCACAACCACCCCACCACCACCACCACCACCCCTGCCACCACCACCACCACACTCCACCACCACCACCACCACCACCCACACCCACCCCCACACCACCTTCAACCACACCACCCCACCACCACTGGCAGCAGCAGCAGCAACACATAGCGGCCGTCTTCAGCACCTCCCACAGCAACATTCCAGTAGCAGTTGATCACCCAGTCTGGCGCCGCCACCGACTCTCCTCTCTGAACCTAAACACTTTAAATGGGATTTCTGTTTTTCACTCATATATTGTAGCAGCAGTGGAAGAGCCAGAGTTTTACACACCTCTTATTCCCTTAGTTATTGTTGTTCCGTGTCCTTGTGTTTTGCTTTATTTTATTGTTGTTACGACCTCTTACTGCCTGGATCCTCACTCTACCTGATTGTGTAAGATGGTGAGGGTGTAGGCGTGTGTGTGTGTGTGTGTGTGTGTGTGTGTGTGTGTGTGTGTGTGTGTGTATTATGGTGTGTGTGTGTGTGTGTGTGTGTGTGTGTGTATTATGTAGTGTGTGTGTGTGTGTGTGTGTGTGTGTGTGTGTGTGTGTGTGTGTGTGTGTGTGAAGGCGTATTATCTAGGTGTGTATGTGCGTGTGTAATAATAATAATAATAATAATAATAATAATAATAATAAACTATTTATTAATAGAGTTGCAGCCGGTGGTTGAAAATATACAAACTTACATTTGATTTAGATATAATGATATAATATGCGTTGAATACAATTACAGGGTTGTACAGTACATAAATCAGGAGTTGTTTATTATTTTAACAATAGATGGGATGGTGCTGTTCTTATATCTATCAGTGCAGACTCTTATGGGCTGAATTTTGTTGTAGTGGCGGACTGCGCGAGGTGGGTGGGGGACTGCCGGTGGCAGGAGGTGGCGATGACGAGGATGGTGCACTAGTCCACTGCCAAACCTTGCTAGTGCTTGGTGGTGGAGGTCACTGAGGGATGGCATTTCCAGGGTGGAGAGAGCGTTGTTGTAGCCGGAGTAGTCTGTGCCGAGCATGATTCTGCAGGCCCTTTTCTGTACCTTCTCTAGCTGGCGTTGTTGGGTAGAGTTGAGAGAAGACGACCAGGCTGGTGACGCATACGTTAGTTTGGGGAGAATAAAGGCATTGTAGATAGTCCTCAGCTCTAGCGTGGGTGTCCCAAGTGACCTAAGTCGTCGCAGCATGTAGAGTCGGTCCGAGGCTGCCTTGATTGTGTTGTTTACATGGGCCTTCCAGTCCAGTTTGTGGTCTATGGTAACACCCAGGAGTTTGGCAGACTGCACTAACTGGAGAGGATGGGCACCCACTGTGACTGCTCGAGCTTGCACTGGAGTGGTGGCGGTATTGATGTGCATGACTACGATTTTGGTGTGGTTGATGGTGACCTTATTCTCCGTAGTCCATGCCTATAGCCTGTCCAGGGTGCCTTGTAGCGATGAGTAGTACGTGCAGTCATCCACGTACTTCCATCTGTGAGGAGTGTCCGATAGAGCATCGTTGATCAGGATGAGGAAGCACAGTGGTCCCATCTTGGTCCCCTGGGGAACACTGCAGAAGAGGTGTTGGAATGTGGAGACAGAACCCTGGTACCTGATTGCCTGACGACGTTGACTCAAGAAATTAGTGAGTCATGAGACCAGGTTGGTGGGCAGCCCTAGTGCAATGGCCTTGTTAATAACAGTGCAGTGATCAATAAGGTCAAAAGCCTGCCTGAAGTTAACAAGGGCAACGGCCAGTGATGTCTTACGTTTCTGCAGGTTTTTGTGCAGGAAATCCAGGAAACTACCTAAGCAGTATGATGAAGAGGAGGTCCTCATATTGCCAAATTGCTGTGGATCAATTGACTGATAAATTCTAGCAAATGCCCACTCAAAAACAAAGTCTTCACAGAGTAGACTGGGTATAGGGGTAATTGCAACTGGCCTGAGGTCGTTAGGGGACTGTGGGGTGGTGACCTTGGGGATAGGGGTGACAAATGCGGTTTTCCATTCATTAGGGTATTTGCTTTGTCTGAGGGATGCATTAATAATAGAACAGAGGGGGTTGGCAAGTTCGACTGCAAACTCCTTGGAATTTTTTATTGGGAGGTCACTTGGGATTGTGTATGTGTGTGTGTGAGTATTGTTACGTGTCAAAGGAGTAAGGCTCGTAACAAACAAAAAGTGAAGGTATTTAAAGAGAATTACAATATATGGTTCTTAAATTTGTATCGAGAACAACTCCAACTACGGTGTAATGTATGAATTGAATGCAGCCCCTTTTAATAAATGAATACTTGATGACTGGAGTAAAGAAACTTAAATAAAATGTATAACTATATTTACAAACGCTTACCACTAATAACAATGAAATAAGCTAATCACATGAACATACTGGGTTACTTTAAGGTTGCCAGTATCACTAACAACAAAATCAATACACGATTCTAGAACATAAATACATAAAACACCAAAACGGTCAGCCAGCCTCAACGATGATTACCATGAGTACATCACCCGATCAAAGACAGAAGTCAACTGACAACGCAGGCCAGTGGTGGAGGTCCGAAGACTACGCAAAGTTTGTGCTACTAACCCCGGCTCTGAAGCCGTCTGCTTTTATGGGTTGCTTTGAGCAGACTGATCCAAACATCGTACTTAAATGTCACTGTAATACTATTACAGTATTACAGAATTTAATATTATGACTATTCCCACAAAAAACAATGTAATTCTAGTCGGGAAAAATATAAAATTGTCCAATATATATATCAAGAATACTTACTCATATACAGTATGTCTGGCAGGGGCATACAGCTCATTTAATAATTGGTTGTTAAGGGTAGTTATATCATGAGATACGTTGCACGTAATAGTGTGTGTGTGTAGATGGAAAGATGTTGTTAGGAAGTGTTAAGGAGAGGTAGAGAGGGCAGGGCAGGTGTAGCCGGAGACAGTTTGTGCATGAGGAACTCTTTCATCTATTAATGATTCCCAACATGGCTTCACAAGCGGTTGTTCATGTCTAACTAATCCATTAACATTCTTTTCATCAGTTTTCGAATCAGTGGACGAGGGGCACAATTATGATGTGGTATATCTCGACTTTAGCAAAGCCTTCGACAGAGTCCCCCACGAAAGACTAATAAGAAAAGTGGAGGCTCATGGCATTAAAGGAGATATTCTAAAATGGATTAGGGCGTGGTTACTGTTTTGTTCTGGGTAATAAGTTCAATATACAGGAGCGAACACAAACACCTGTATAGATTTTGT